AAAATTTTAATGAAGATATTTATCTTAATTATGAAAATATACTAGCATGTTTTTTAATTTTTGGAACCTAACCCTCCTTTTCGTATTAGTTCTTTGTTTCGTATAACACGGATTCGCATAACACGGCAATTTTTTGGAACGTAACTACCGTGTTATACGGGGGTTACCTGTATATCTGGAGTTTTATCCTTGTGGAAAGGGAGGATAAACTTGGAAGACTTGTATATAGTATATTATACATGTAATTATGGTTTAAGATTTTATAATTTTTAAAACTTTTATTAGTTATATTTCTAACATACAATAAAGACCTGCTGAGAAGGAATGAAAAGATCTGAAATACAAGAAAATTTTCTATGCAGGTGCAAATGAAAGTCTATCCATTCAAACTAAGACTGATTCAATCTCCAATTTCATCCGCAAGTTGAATCAGCATAATAAATCCTATCTTAATAGATTAATAAAAATAATATTTAAATGACTAGAAGCATTAATTAATATTAATTAATTTAACCATCAAAATTTAATAGCATCAATACATGCCCCTAATACACAAATCTCCTTGCAAAATTTCAGAAATTTTTGACAAAAGACAGGAATTATTAAGCTTGAATGGGGGTGAACAAAGTAGTTCCTCCCTCACACACACAGACGTCCATACATACATACATACGAGGGCTGTTCAAAAAGTATTGGACCTTTGGTCGGCAAAAATACATTTATTGATTTTGAGGTACAAAACCCTAATCCCCTTCAAAGTAGTCTCCTTGGTAGTGTATATACTTCTCCCAGCATTCCTGCCATTGCTGGAAACACTGCTGGAATGCATCTTTTGGAATGGCCATCAGCCAGTCCATCACATTCCGAGTGATGTCTTCTCTCAACTAAAATCAGGTTCCTTTTAGCGGCATTTTCAGCTTGGGAAATAGCCAAAGGTTACAAGGAGCCATGTGGGGAGAGTACGGAGTGTGACGAATCACAGGAGTGTTGTGTTTAGCGACAAAAGCCCGAATCAGATGTGCAGAATGGGCGGATGCGTTATCACAATTGAGCTGCCAAGTTTTGATCGACCACAGATCTGGTCGTTTGTGTCGCACAGCATTGGAAAGACAACGAAGGACCTCCTGGTAGTACTGCTTTGCGATGGTTTGGCCTTGTGGTGCGTACTCACGATAAACCACCCCACGAGAGTCGAAAAAACTGTCGACATGACCTTGATATTGCTGCGGACCTGCCACGCTTTTTTTGGTCTCGAGGATCGTCCCCGAAAGCCTGCTGAATCTTGCGAATGCTTTATGCTTGGGTATCGCCAGTGGTGATATTCAGCGGGTTCGCACAGGTTCAGCCGAACCCGTTGTTAACATTTTCAAAGTTTTCCGAACCCGTTGTTAAACACACACAACATTTCTCAGTGATTTTGTTTCGTTTAAAAAATATATTAAAATATACGTATTATACTCTGTAACACTACTAAACTAGAGCCTTATACCCTGTTCGCCTAGTGTGACCTCCATCGACCGTTTCAATCTCGACTAAAACGAGGTTCAATCACAATTGACTCGAGAGTGTTCTCAAAACTAGATCCAGTCATAAGAGAGATCCCACAATCCCACGCGTGCGAGAAAATACAAGATGGCTGCGGAGCATACAAGATGACTGCGGAGCACATGTCGGGCTACCGACAGCGAAGTAAGAAAGATATTGTATTTCGAGAGACGATGACATCTGTCTATTTTTATAATAATACCTAACAATAAAATAAATGATTGAGAAGAGTTTTTCTTGTTAAACTGCTTTCCCTATGACTTTTTCTGATTTAAAAAAAGCCAATTTTTATGTTTATAAAATATTTTGAATGAAAAATATTAAAATATGTACAAAATAAACCATTTTCAACACTCTATTTTATTATTTATAAAAAAAAAATATAGTTCTGGGATAAACAATGTTAAATTTTAACTGACTTAATTTTGCGAATGCATTTTTTTTTATTTATATGGATATCTTAAGGTCAGTTTTTGTGCTAATGTTACTAATGCACCATTTCAGCGAAAAAAAAATTGTTAAGGAAAAATTTTCTGTTAGCGAACCCTTTGTTAAATATTTCGAATATCACCACTGGGTATCGCCAAGGTTTTTGGCAAAATTTGATGTAATATCACTGCTCACATTGTTCAGTCATTTTCCAACTTAGTGGAATCCGATGAGAGCTCACTCATAGGCCAACTGCCAACGACTGACGCTTCCTGCAGGCGGGAAAAACTCAGGGCTGTGCATGACTGTCCCCTCCACAACTCCACCGAAAGAGGCCTCCCGTGCATCATTAGTTTACGTGGAAAAAATAAAAGTCTGATACTTTTTGAACAGACCTCATACATACATACATACAGAAAAACCGCCGAAATTCTTTTGCATTTGTCAACATTTCAAGGTTACAAATAGTCTAAAAATGTAAAAATCTTGGAAGTTATTTTTTGACTAATTGCCATACCTTCCTTCTGTTATATATAGAGCAAAACTGAACTACTTGTGTGATTTAATTTTCAAATTTTAATAATAAATTCAGTTTTGCCCTAATTCTCATAAGGGCTAGGGCTAGCTTCCAATATATATTGGCCAACACTGCCACTGGCAATTATAATTAAGAAATTATAAGCAATTCTAAACCAAACATCAACAAGTTCTTAACACACATTAATAATAATGCATATGGATTCGCACAACAGCTACACTCAAAGCTGACCCGTTACAGGCCAAAAATGTTTGTCTTTTTAATTAAAATGTTTGCTGGAATTGATGAAGGTTGTCTTCTTTTAATTAAGCTGAATTCAATGAAATACAGATAAAATGTATTGGCTAACTAAGTGTGTGATCATCCTCAGCTAACAACCACACTAGATTCTTACTAATCTGGCCATTCCTTACACAAAAAGATGCCAGGTTAAAGAAAGTGCCAGTGTGTTTTGGCTAAAGGCAATGAATGACATTGGCTCAGCCTTCAGTACGGATTCTTTATGAAGCTAACCACATTACAATGAGGGTATGCTGAATAACTGAGAAACTGGATTAGCAAGTGTATACCGTGCTCAGTTAACCAATTAAACTGTAATAAACTGTCTTGTCAGAGCCGATACGAACAATGTAAAATTTTACACTGAAGAGGAGATAAACGATCCAAAAATGTATTTGTGGCTATCGAATAGTAATTTACAAAATAAGTGTTTGGCAAGGCTAGCATTGTTTCGAGTAAAAATGCAGTTCTGAATGAGGAGTTTGGACTCCCCAAATTTTAGTTCCCCAGACAACCAAAAAGTCAGAGAATCTTTCTCTCTAATTGTGACTGTCAGCAAGACATTCGCCTCCAGTTTTTGCAACGATTGCCGGTTTGTATGCAGCAGGCATAATGGAGTGCACAGCACAACTCTAATTGCCACCCCGGAAGTATTCAGTGTTTTACAAACCCTTAATAGTCTCTAGTAAAGTAGAAAACAGTCAATTTTTTTCCATTGTTTTGAGAAACACTTCCAGATTTTTTCACTTACAAAATTTACCCACTGTTTTGAGTGTCTTCCAAATTCCAGACAGGCTAATTTCAGTGAGCTACAATCTTGCACCTTTGACTTTTTTACTCCCACAAGCACAGTCTATGGTTCCGCCAAGGTCCCAACCACCTCATTCGGAGCTGAACCCCTACCTTGCATCTCCTGGACTAATTGGTTCTTTTGGTAACTCAGTAATGTATAATGAATGTCAATTGATTGACTTCATTTTGACATTTGGCCTTTAAACATAGATATTAAAATTTTATGGGTAAATGTTCAGATGCGTGGACCATCATGGCGGCACTTCCTGTTTTAGCCTCGAAACCTGACGCATTTGGAGACGACGTGTCACATGACGACGCGAGCGAACGGCGGCGGCTGCTGCGCCGCGGCAGCGTCGGCGGCTGTTATGGCGGCTCACCGCCGATTCCAGCAAAGAGAAGCAAACAGTGGGGACGCACGTTCTAACCTAACCTAAACCTATTCTATTAATATAATCGGTATTAATTATGGCAATTTATTAGAATAGGTTTAGGTTAGGTTAGAACGTGCGTCCCCACTGTTTGCTTCTCTTTGCTGGAATCGGCGGTGAGCCGCCATGACAGTAAGTATCTGGACTTTAACCAAAATAACAAAATAAANAGCAAGCATTTGAAGGTTCTGAATTATCTAAACAAGCTAAAGACGATCAAAGCATGTTTCCTGAAGGAGCTTACCTAGTAGGACCGTGTAGCTATCCACTTCACACATGGCTAATTACACCGTATCAAGGAGAACAACTGACCGCAGAACATGAACATTTAAATAATGCATTGACTGAAGCACACAGACCTATCAGCAAGGCATTGAAATTGTTAATGACACGATTTCAACGTTTAAAAATGTTAGACATGAACAGGTTGGATTTAATTCCATCCTGCTTAAAAACTACTTGTGTTATCCATAATGTGTGTATCATGAATGATGACTTAATGGACATAACCGACGTAGACAACGAGTATAATAGCTTCGAATGTGCATTACTTACTGACATTCAAGGAATCGAAAAAAGAAACTCTATAGCTGATCAGTTATTCAATTCTTAGCATAATAATTGAATAATTTTTTGGTTGTATCATAAAGCATTTGAATGTACCATTAGCCATATTAAAAACTACTGTATTAATATGTAAATAATATAAAAGTAATAATGATCAACTCACAAAATATTTATACTATTAAAATTAACTTTAAGTTAAAAGTTTCAAACTTATTCCATGGTTATATTTACAATATATCTGATATAGTAACAAAGTTCAGGTTGAACACTAGAGTGCAATAAGCCATTTGCATTAGCAACCCACGTCGTCTCCAAAGGCATCAGGTTTCGAGGCTAAAACAGGAAGTGCCGCCATGATGGTCCACGCATCTGAACATTCACCATTTTATGTATTGAAACTTTTAATTTCGTTTATGTAAATGAGATCATTAAAGGTATGTTTCCATGTTTACAAATTATATGCATCATTCATTAGCATTGGCTGTCCCCTCCTTTTCAAAAGTAATTAAACTGACATTGCCTCCATTTTGGGCAATCAAAACTGCTACAATACACAAATAAATACTAATTAATTAACTTAATATCTCGTTACAATTAAAAAAACCATTATAAGAGAACACGAATTCAACATTAAATTACTACTTACTTTTAATTAATTAACTCCATGATTCCAAATAAACAATTTCCCTCCTCACCGTTGAAGACGCGTCTTCTACTCAAGTGATAAAGCGCACCCTGCTGGAAATAACCTTTTTTCTACAATTAAAAAAAAATACAGTATATTTATTTATACAGTGTATTTTTTTATAGGGTGCTTCTAGTCCAGATCCCACAATGGTATATATAGATATGAGAGCTTTAAGGAATGACAGAGTTACACTTGTCGAAAGAGGTGCTCCTCACAGCTTATGCTTAATGGAATCGGGTAAACTCTTGCCAGGTGTTAAAGTTGTTATTGCAAATCCTGAAACACGAGGCCAGTGTGGGGATTCTCATTTAGGAGAGGTTTGTACTGAAATAATATAAATTTATTGTCTTATAAAATAATAATGGAATCAATAATTAATATTAAGATAATCTAATACATATAAATTTATTTGGTATTTGTACTGCATTAAGGTTTGATTGAACTTAATTTTATTTTGAAATTTATAGTTATAATACAGTAAATTGTTTNGTTAAAAGTGATGCGGATAAAAACATTGAAAAGGTATATGAATCAAGCGATAAAAAGTTAAAGAGCGCGGTTAAGCGGAGGAGAATATCAAAGAACGGAAACAAAGCCGATAAAGCATCTCAACCTTTGATACCTTTAGAACTGTTGAGTGATTTTAAAGCTCAGTTCAAAATGACAACTACAACATTCGAAAAATTAATTCAGGCCCTTCGCTATAATCACGAAATGGAAAGAAAATCTGGAAGACCCGCCGTCCCCTTCACCAAACAATTGCTTATTGTGGTGTGGATGCTGGTTAATCAAGAACCGTTTAGGTATAAAATCATTTTGTGTACACTATAATTTGAATATCTTAGTTTTCCTTTCTAATTATGAGTAATAAATTATTCGTGAACATTAAAGAGAAATAGGCAGGTGTTGTCATATAAGTTTATTGTTTATACAAACGTGACGATATCCCCACAAAGTAAGCATCCCCACGTTAACGATAAAAGACACCCAATTAAAACTAAAAATGAAATGTGGCAGAGTCCCTTACAATGTGGGACGGGTTCTGCATTATCGGATGATTTATGCAAGTTTAAACCTAGCATAGAAGTTAAAGATACCTTCGTTGGCAAAATTAGAATTTTGTATGAGTTTTAGTCAAATTCTAGGGGAAAGCGTTATATGGTTGTTTATTGTATATAAGTTTATGTTTAAAAAAGAAAGATAACGTATAAACTATATCACATAAAAGGAGTTTTTACATATTTACTAATTCAAATTACCTTTAAAAGAATCAAAGTCAGAAGAGTGTTTAAATCATAAAAACACATCTTTCAGTGCTTTTCCAGCAATATTTTTCTTCTCAACAAACATTTTTAGCTCCATTGAAGCTAAAAATCTTGAAAAACCTGAGGCAGGCTTATTGAGGGAGCCAAAAATGTTTGTCAATAAGAAAAGCATTGCTGGTAAAGTGCTCAAGTGGTGAAGGAAATAATTATAAGTAATTTTTTATGTTATAAACAATAAATATATAAAATTCCAACCAGAATATATTTAGTAAATATATCTTTGTGGTATTATTTAGTAAGGAAATGGCAATGCAGTACACAATAAGCAGTTATAGGTTCAAGTCAATCAATTCTTCCAGAATAGATTAAATTTTGAATGTTCTGGAACAGTTAATGTAATAACTGATGTTAACACAAAATAATGGCCTTACATTAGTAAAAGTTCCATTGGATTAGCAAGTTATAGTCTGAGATAATCCATTGATTAGCATTTTTACACATTCGTATTTTACTTGTAGGTAATTAATCCACAATAAAAATGAGATTTCTGAAGTCATTAGTGCTGTTTGTGAAGTTAGAAAATAAATAGAATATGCTTGTTTTATATAAGAATATTATGAATATAAGAATAACTATGCTTTTTCTCTATTTCAGAATTATATCAGAAAGGTTTGTGGTACCAAAATCAACTATCGAAAGCTGTTTCAAGAGAATTATATTTTTGATGGATCAAGTTAGTCCGGATATCATAAAATGGCCAAGAGATAAAGAAGCCACTGATGAAATGTTAGCATTTAAAGAAATATCTGGACTTCCAAAGGTATTAGGTGCCATTGATAACATTCACATAAATATAAAATCGTCACGTGCCTTACCGGAAGTTTACAATAATAGCAAAGGACTTACAACTGTGGTACTTCAAGCAACTTGCAATCACAAAATGATGTTTACTAGTTGCAGTACTAAATCACCTGGATCGTTAACGGCCAAGCAAGCATTTGAAGGTTCTGAATTATCTAAACAAGCTAAAGACGATCAAAGCATGTTTCCTGAAGGAGCTTACCTAGTAGGACCGTGTAGCTATCCACTTCACACATGGCTAATTACACCGTATCAAGGAGAACAACTGACCGCAGAACATGAACATTTAAATAATGCATTGACTGAAGCACACAGACCTATCAGCAAGGCATTGAAATTGTTAATGACACGATTTCAACGTTTAAAAATGTTAGACATGAACAGGTTGGATTTAATTCCATCCTGCTTAAAAACTACTTGTGTTATCCATAATGTGTGTATCATGAATGATGACTTAATGGACATAACCGACGTAGACAACGAGTATAATAGCTTCGAATGTGCATTACTTACTGACATTCAAGGAATCGAAAAAAGAAACTCTATAGCTGATCAGTTATTCAATTCTTAGCATAATAATTGAATAATTTTTTGGTTGTATCATAAAGCATTTGAATGTACCATTAGCCATATTAAAAACTACTGTATTAATATGTAAATAATATAAAAGTAATAATGATCAACTCACAAAATATTTATACTATTAAAATTAACTTCAAGTTAAAAGTTTCAAACTTATTCCATGGTTATATTTACAATATATCTGATATAGTAACAAAGTTCAGGTTGAACACTAGAGTGCAATAAGCCATTTGCATTAGCAACCCTAAAATTGGCACACGCTTAGGTTTTTGTAGTCTTGAGAGAACAGTTTGCCCCAACAGGTACCAGCTTTCATTTGGTGCAGTTGTTTACAGGACTAAAATATTGTAAAGGGTCCTCTAAAGTTTATGGCATACATCTCTATATTCACAAAGGTTAGGAAATTAAATAAAATTTTTAAATTGTCAGTAATTACATTAAAAATTTCTTCTGTGATAAGCAAGTTAATGTCAAGCAAAAAAGGAAAAACATTCCAAAAGTAATCTATAAAAAAGATAAACAAGATGAAAATTATTAATTGTAACAAAGATTAAAAAAAAATAAATCATAAAGGAATCACAAAAATAGGCTATATTTTATTTAATATACTGTTATAATATAGTGTAGTGTTGTCATTGTGCAATGAGCAAAATAACGATGTAATTGGAAAAATATAATCTTACACTGTTTAGAAATATAGCGCAAGTTTACCTTATTTAAAATGAATCATTTCTAGTCAGAACAAAAAATATTTGTATTTTTGCTTTATAAGATGATTCACAGTTATTGTGTCGAGTTGTTGGAAAAAATATTCTTTACAATATAAAATGCATTCTGATTTCTAGATACATTTTAGGTGCAAAAAGTGCATCTTTTAAGACAAAAATTACAGTAATTAAATAACCATATTTACACTATTCTGAAGAAACTGCCCGGGGCCCGTAAGTGTTACCTAACTGCATTTAATAATAGTTATGCCACTGAGTTTTGCACTCTAGGGAGCACTACTGCATTCTGAACACAACTTTTATATAATTACACCATTACGTCATATAAGTTATTTCGATTTCAGAAGCCACAGAAAACATTAGACATTAAAAAGTTGTGACAATCTATGGTTTTTTTTTTTACGTGAATTGATAAATCTTTTTAATATTTTTTTTCAATGGAATTTAAATTAGCATATTGTTATACATTATTATTTTGGACACAGATTGTAATTCAGGTTGGTAAACAATTATGAAAAAGAAATATGGTAAACCTTAACTAACTCAGACAATTGTTTGAAAAATTGTAAATAAGTTACTGTACAATTTCTTTTGTAAAAAAGGGCCGATGAATTTACAATTTAATAAAACATAACACAGACTAAAAATGTCTTCACTTTTCTGTCATGTCCAATCACTAGGAACAACTATCTTCCACTGCAGAGACGACCTTTCTTTAGAGGCTACGCCTCTGCAAAAAAATGCAAAACAGTCTAAAAGTTCACAGGTTACAATCCCATCACAATTAAAAATATAAAATTTTGTAAAAAAAGGCAGTGGAAGAATTTCTTTTGTAAAAAAGAAAGCCTTTTATGCAGAAGCATAGCCTCTAAAGAAAGGTTGTCTCTGCAGTGGAAGATTAGTTGTTCCTGGTGATTGGACATGACAGAAAAGTGAAGATATATTTAGTCTGTTACATTTTATTAAAGTTACAACTTATATTTTTACCATAGAAAACTTACAATTAATCAGATTGGTAAGCTTTGTTTTATTCCAGTATTTCTAAAAACGACAAATGTTTTCAAACAGCATGACCGTCCTGCTTCAGGTCCATTGTTTGTATTTCATTTAGAATGCTCATTCTATTGTTTTCTACATTCAAACAAATTCAAATTTCAATTATATTTGAAATTTACCATATTAAATTTTAAAACTAATGGGTCTGAAGCAGGATGGTCAAGTTGTTCAAAAACGTTTGTTATTTTTAAGAAATATTTACATTGTTCCAGTTTGGATTTGTTTCTCTTTAATTGACTACCATTAACGATTATTTATAGTATCTGGCAGTCTTTGTGATATGATATGTTACTGTAGTCAGTAAGTTACTAGAGATTAAATTGCTATAAACCATGCTGCCATAAAATTTTTTGAGCCTATTTCCTGTAATAAATTCAGCAGTATAACCAACTGAAGTTGGTAAAACTTTTGTGTAGAACTGACTAATAAATTACTGTGCTGTACTGTACATCCATCTTGCTTATCATGTCAGGGAAAACATCTTGCTAACTCGGACAACCTTCACCTTCTATTAGTGGGTGTGCTGTATTAAAATTTTTTATCTGTTTGCTATTGATCAGTTAGGACTTATGTACAGTACATTAATGAGATGATATAAAAATCTTGTTTCCATATATGATATTGTCAAAGCCTGGTTCAGTAATAACCATTGGATTGTGCAATACAAAATACTTTTGTCCTTTGTCCAACTTGAGGCAGTCAACCTTGTCAATACACCTAAGACATATTGAAAAATTTGCAGATTATCCTGTTGTGGATAAACTAAAGTTTCTCCAGATCTTGACTCATAATAATGAGTGATGTTCATGTGTGATCATGACTACTATATTAATTAATAAACCCTGGCTTCCAATCTTTGATCCATTTTTATATATTTTTCTTGAATTTCCTGGTTTGTGTGTGTCAGAGTTTGCAATATTTATGAGTTTATTACCAGTTTGGCAATTATTAGTGGCCCTTCTTGGAAATATCTGTAATCATCTGACAGTATTAGCTTCCCATCCAAGTCAGGAGGATAGAGGTGTGAGCCTGTTTCCTCAGAAACCAGCTGTATACAGGAGAAAACACAGAGGAGATGAGAACATGTAGGAAAACGAGCTTCTACAGTAGAGAGGAGGATAGGGAGAAAGAAGATCAGCTTGACGCCAGGATTGAAAGGACTGTGGATCTTGAAGGTAGGCTCTCTCTCTAGACTACACTATCTGGATCATCAATATTTACAAAATAGTTGCAGGATTGAATTTGATTTCAAGTATTAAAAAAAGTTAATGTAGACAATGAGAGATGGTGATGGAGTAAATACTGGAAGAAATTTTTAGGTTCTAATGTATGTATCAATTCTAATGTGCATTCTACAGTTTACTAACTATTCTAGATGATTTCAGGTGGAGTAATAGTCTGTGTGTAATAAGACAATCTGCAGATTGCTTAGTACATGTTGGTAAACCTAAAGCAAATGCAAGAGAAGAGAGAAAAGGAGGAAACTAAGTAAATCAAGATTGCATGTCTACAGAAGTTCTTGTTTTTCCTCTATTTTGCATTCACGCAAAAGCAGGAAAGTCTGATAAATTTTACATTAAAAGTTAAAGAAATATAAAAGTAGTATATTAACATTTCCTTCCTTTTATTTATGGCCTCCCAGTGTTTATTACAGCTTCTTGGGCCATTTTCTTCATGTTCGACAGATACTCCACACCATTTTGTTATCGTCGCACGGAAGTGTTCTTGCTGAACTACTGTGTGCACATCAACTCTGAAGAGGAGAGAAAGATACAAGGGAAAATTCAACAGGTTGAATTGCATTTCTCATGCATTACATGCAAGAAGTCTCTTTCCCTCTTTTCTATAAACTGCATCAAGAGTGCAAATTCTGATCACAAAAGTTCTCTTTTGTTTGTTTTTTCCTTCTCACAGCTGCATAAACACAGCAAGAGGAGATGCAAAATTTTAGATTTTCTGCAAGATGAGCAAATCTAAAATCAAATTATCTCAGGCTTTGCTAGCTGAACTGGGTGACTAGGTTTTCTCAGATAAACCTAGTGTGAGGTTAGCCGATCGTGTGTAAGGTGTCACGACAGTCAAGCAGTCATTACTGTCATGAAGGCGCAGAATGACTCTCTGAGACAGGGTTACCATTAAAAACCCGTTTAATAAACATATAAATTTCCTTACAAATTCCTTGATTGATGAGGTAGCACCACAAAACGTGCGGAAAAAGTCCAAATAAAGTTTGAAAAGTTCTGTCTTAGTTACTTGTGAATGGACACTGACGGTGAAATACTCTGTAGGCCCTGGGGCGTTTATCATGGCTTTCAGTGGCTTCTCGTTGGACGAACTGACGAATCTGTAGATCGCTAGGAGGCACCCAGAGAACGATGTTTCCACAATGTTCCGAAATGTTCTTTTGTTTTCCAAAGATCTGGAGCAGGCATGTCTAGGAGAAGAAACACTATGCATCCAAGAACCCGAAATGTCCTTGAAACGCTGGTTTTATAGTTTTTCCCCCTAGTCTCCTCTTCATTGGTCTCTCACTGTCACCTGGTGACAATTTGAAACCCGATGGAGGGTGTGGGAGAGGTCAGCATCACGACTGAATCTGATTCCTCTCTCGTCGCTTTTTCTCGACTTTATTCCTTTCCATTGTTTAACTAATTTACACAAAAATTTCCATTGTTCGATTGAGACATCTAATCCTTTCCACTTGTGTCTAAAAAGGAGCTCTTTAAATTTCTGATCGATACCCTTCATTCGGACCTCTCAGTCAACCCGTTTGGGTCCTCACACTAGGATTACTGTTGCACCAGACTTTAACCATAAAATATACAGTGTTTTAAAATGGTAAGGTCAACCAAGTAGGAGATAATAGTGGTTTGTAAGCATAAATAATATATAGAAAGTTTTTGTGGTTCTGTGATTTAGTAAATACAATGCTTCAAAGATTATGTAATCATTTTAATTATTAAAAACTGAACAATAACCAGATGCATGCTTCTAGTTTACAAGACAGGAAATAATCTATCAAAATGTTTGAATTTAATTAATTAATGGAGCAATTTTAAAAAATATCCATCCTCTCTCATGCAAGCACATTTTGGCATACTGACGAACTAAATGTTTAATGTTGTTCAACAACTGGCACTGTCATACTTTTGCTAGTCTGCAGTAGCATGAATTTTTTCTGTAAGTTGTTCCTTACTTTCTATCTTAGAACTGTATAGTTCCTTCATACAATCCCAAATTTGTTCAAGGAAATCCAGATATTTGGAACTGCTGATTCTTTCTTACACTATGAAAGGACCTATTAAACTATTTTCCATTACCTGCCCAAGTATTGACATTGAATCAGTGCTAAAATGACAGCTTGTGTTGCATGAGGATTCTCTGGTGATCAAAGTGCAGATCAAAAGTTGTATTTATTACTTATAAATCATGCCTTGTCTGTCCACAAGACATTACAGATGAATCAATTTTCTTATCAGTCTTGTTTAACAACCATCAACAATATTGACGATGCTGGAAATGGTCTTTTGACACTAATTCTTGCACAAGAGGCAATTGGAATGGGTGTGCAGCACTCACCAAACTGTTGTGTAATAGGCCAATGTAACATGAAATGTGTAAGGTACTAGTAGAAGGGTTTTCACATATCAAGAATCTCCTCTCACCAACATTGAGTCATGGATAACTAACATGACGATATCGTTGAAATACACCTATTTTTCAACCTTCAATGTGAAGCCTCACACACTCATCTATGAGGGTGCCTTCTCAGAGGAATCATAAGATATTACCTTTCAATTATTGTAGCATTTCTATTACAAAAACTATATTAAGCACCAAAAAATCCAGTAGGAAAATGTTAATAAAAGGCTAGCAAATGTTTTCTTCCATGTTAAACAGTCATAATCCCTAATGACGTTCGAAAACTTGGGCACACTTGATTAAAAAAAATATGGTTCAAATACCATATGTCTTCAAAATTGGTAGTCACCATCCATGTGACAATATGGATGATGTAGGAGAGAGAAAATCAACCCAAATGTCAGAATGTCTTCCATTTCAAGGGAAAGAACTTTGCCTCTTTAAAGTTGATTGTGCATTTTTTCCAGCTGTTTTATAAATCTCCCACTTCTCCAAATATTTAAGTTTCTCCTTGCAAGAGATATACTGTAGTCACAAACTGTAACATATACAGAACCATGCATGGTAATTTCCTTAAGACAATGCTCTAGACAGGAATAATGATGAGCTGAACTATCATATGCCAGGTTCTCGGGATGACATCAAAGGTCTCATATACCTCCATTCCAGCTCAACTAACATGACTCAATATCACTCCTGCAACACTAGCTACAAGATGGTTACATATAATAGAAGATTGCCTGTCCTTTACAAGGAGATTGCCCAGAAATAACTCCTGCCTGGCTGTCAGAAGTCTGTTTTCACCCTCCATAACTCTATGGATCAATTCAACATGTGGCTCCTCCCTGGGGTTATACTATTCATCTTACTGATCACAGATCTAACTGCAACTTGTTGCAATGTGTTGGAGCTACAGGCCAACCCCTAAGGATTCACCTCAAGGAATATTGGGTCTCTTTCAATAAAGAGCTTACTGTTACAGCCCTGGCAACATATGACACTGACCATGACGTTGAGGTGCATTTTGACATAGTCCACCTACATCACACTTCCTGCAAGAAGCAGCTTAAATATTTGAAGTGGAAGATTTAAAAGCAGCTAGAAAAAATGTGGAAAATCAACTTTAACACAGTTCCACCTGGCATGAAAGACATTCTATGGCATTTAGGTTTACTCTCTCTCCTTACACACATCACATGGACAATGACCATCAATCTTGAGAACTTTCAGTGTTTGAATGATTTTTTTTTTTATCAGTTTCTGCATCAGAGTTTTTGAAGACCATTAACCTGAAAATGACAGTTTAACACAAGAAAATGCTTGCTATTGTTTATTAACATTGATAATGATTTTTTGATGCTTAACTTACTTATACACAGTTGTTTGTGTTGTTGAAAACTATACATGTAATATATATCTTAATATTCCTCATTGCTAAAGTCCTGTTTTCTTCACTAATAATACCTTCTTTCGAAGTAGATTGGTCTGTGCAAGACTGAACCAAACCAACTGTATAAAGACTTTACTATTATACATGTTTGCTCTATATTTGTTTCTTGCCTTTTGAAACACCCTCTATATATTCTTAAATATTAGAATGCATTTTAACATACCTATCATGGATTTGGTCATTATGCAATTGGATGACCAAATGAAGAATATTGTCCAATATATCCAAGCCAGACTATATATGGAAATTTCTAGAGAATCTGACTGAATCTTGCAAGAAAACAATTATTTGTCTTAGTCATATTTTAAGAACCACTTAATATATTTTCCACATCATTAGTACATTTACATTTAATATTTAATTAAATCTAACAAGAAATTATCATTATTATAGAACTGACAAATACAACTAATTTATTAGCTACAAGAATAATGAGCTGTAAACTATCACCCAATATGCTAGACAACATGGCTACTCTCAGGACATCATCATATGCTTCCATTACAGTGCCACAAAATTGACATGACCAGAGATTGCTCCCATGACACCATCTAAGATGCAGTTATATACAATAGAAGGCTGTCTGCCCTTCACAAGAAGATTACCAGAAATATAACTTCTGTCTGGCTTTCAGAAGTTCCTTTGTTTTTACCTCCTCTGTAATGCTAAGGATCAACCTGATATGTAACTCCTCTGAGGTTAATAAAAGTGAAGTTTTACATACAATATTGCAATTTTTCCTACAGCAAATACCAGAAATGTCCCCAGAGGTCCCATAATCCAGGAAACCTCTGGGGATATTTCTAATATTTGCTGTTGAAAATTGCAATATTGTATGTAAAACTTCCCATAATCCAGGGGAGTGAGGTCTGGAGACTTCTGTCAGAGATTATGCAATTGGCAAAGAAGTCTCCAAAAACTAAACACACACATATGCACACACCCCCCAAACTCATAATCTGAAAAGGGTAAACAGTAGACAAAAGGAGACTACAATCCTATTCATCAATTTTCTGTAACCATTCCTGTGCAGACACATTTGTGCCTCTTCTAGCACACTTTCTTACATTCTTTCAGATACTCATCATCTTGTTCCACCAAAACTTTCTCAGCTTTCCCCTACCATACTTCCCATCTTTCCCATGTATGCTCTTTTCAACAATTCTCCTTTCGTTCTCTCAATGTGGCTAAACCATCACAGAGCTAATTTATTCACCTTTTGAACTACTCTCTCTTTTACTCCATATTCCTCCAGCATTTGTTCATTTCTCACATAATCTCTCCTTGTCATGTCACACACTCCTCTCAAATATCCCATCTCGCAGTATTGTAACTCTCTTCCAAAAACTAGCAAGTCTGTAAGTTGTAACATTATCTACTGCAAAGTGAAAATGCAAAACATATAACTTATGGGTCTCATATCAATGCCGTACTTATAACTTTGACATTACAAATTTCTCACTGCACAAGTAACTTTCTAGATATCCTTTAATTGATATGCATGTGTGAGATAGCAGAAATTCTTATATTTGAAATAGTCTTTAATAATAACGTTTCGCGAATTACGCAACAATTGTTGTTCTTAGCTACCTGAGAAAGTCTCCCGTTACATTTTCTCGAAAGCAACATGACGCTTTCTCGTGAACTATTAACCTCTGCACGGCCGAAATCGTCCGTGAATATCATCAGAGACGGCCGACAGGAGTTAGTCGCTGCCTTAGTCCTCGGAGAGAAAAGAAGTCCCTTCAATTATCATCCATTAAGGAATCCGAATTAATCGCCATAGGATAAACTTGTCTGTGTGTGTGTTAGTGCATCGCCTGGATAACGAATCAGAAACCTCAAAAACCCATAGGAAGCTGTTATAATCCGATTCAACAAGACCCGAACGGGACCTATTACCAAAGGTATTTATCATCCCGCGAAGTGTATGTGAACTCTCTCTCTCCGCGACAATCCTTTTCCAATAGATTTGTAAATAAACCCTTGTTAATTGTTAAGTGTATCTGAGTCACTTCCAATGTTGTCTCTCGAATCGACATTACGAATCCGTCTGACCACGTACGGAACCGCTCGCGCGACGGCGTGACGTAATCGCCGTCTCGGTTTCCGTGTTTCGAGAAACACGGTGGTGTCAATCCTGACAGGGTACCAAAGAGGTGCCGACCCGAAAGGTCACACATGTAAAGACACACAGGACTTATTTGTAGTGTTGAAATCATTATCTGTAATTTAAAAAAGGAATTGGATGCTTGTGATTAAACAAAGTAATATTAGAATTGTAGAAATAAAGAAAATTTAATTTTCTTTATTTCTACAATTCTAAAGTGTGACTTTAAAGATCAAAATAAAGAAAATTTAATTTTCTTTATTTTGATCTTTAAAGTCACACTTTGTCCTATATGCGAGGTTATCTTATATGTGAGTAAATACGGTAACTTATCATGTAGCATCTTTGAAATTTCAGTAAACAGTCTGTTGTGATTGATAGGTAGAGGACAAAATGGGTATACAATAGTCTATTAATTTTTAAAATTTATTTCAATAGTTGTAAGTAGCAATTTACTAACTTCTAATAAATAATGGTAGTTAAAATACGAAACTTTTTCATCAATTAAATTTTCTAAATTGAACATTTGGAAAAAATGCTAATTGCTATTGATATAAGGATCAATAGTATTAATAAACATTTTCAGCTGTTTAAGGTGCCAATTTATTTGGCAGTCTTTAGTAACTGAAGATAGTCATTCAACTGGCTAAAAGCAATGATGGTCAATATTGAGAATTTTCCTCCTAAAGCCACCTCTCTAAGTAATCCTAAATTCTACAGTGTAAGTAATGTGTCATGATGTATCTCATCAGCTGGTCATCACAGTTCCATCACACAGAGCTCAATGGTTTACTTAAATAAACTCTGCAATGTTGTCATTGGCTATCAAGCTTCCATCAATTTCTAAGAAATTTTTTTATCAAAAGATTTAATATCACTTGCATATTTTATTTCTGCAATGAAAATTCAATCAGAGATCTAGTGTATCTAGTGTAGATCTAAGTATCTAGTGTAGATGAGTTACATTCAGGAAACATCATAACAAATTAAATTTAACTGAAAGGAATTTTTACACATTTCAACTGTGACAGTTGGAAGATTGAGGCAGTAAAGGGCAGATCTGGAACTCAAAACCTCTAAGTCCAGTTAGAATTTTAAATTTTTATAAGTGGATCAGGAGGTCGGGTTTCACTCCTCGTACCTTGTGGGCTTGTCAAACCTGTGATGGGCATGAAGGCGGTCCTCTTTGTCATTTCCAAACTAATTTTTTTTTACATTTCTGAAAATTCCACTTTAATAAATAACTGTGTTGAGATTAATATGCAATCTTCATACTAATAAAACTGATTTTTTTTCTTTTCAGATACAACTGTCACTTTCTTCAATTTCAATGAAATTTGTTAATTTTTTAATATTTTGTATCAATATTTTGTATGAGATTAATAATAAAAAATATTTTTTTTTCTAAAATTAAAAAAAATCTATTACAAGTCCTTTATTTAAAATATATTTTTTAATCTTTGAATAATACATACAAAAGATTTACTTAATAACAAAACTATTTATTTGTACATTTTATCATCTAAAATTTATTTATAATAAATCAATAACTAAAAACTTATTTTTTCATATTTGCCATAGTTAGAATGAGTTGCATCATTAAATTCCGATGCTGTTCCAGTAATTTATTTTGCAGTTCGATTCTCTCTTCGTGACGCTTTTGACATTCTACTCTGAACTGCTTGAACCATCTCGGCTCGTCAGAAAAACTATCGTCCCTTGGCCGTTTGTAACTCAGTAATTGCTTTTTGAGAGCATTGACAGAAACTTCTTCAGATGGCGGAGAACTCGGACTGATATTGTCATTCGTCGAAGTCTGTTCTTCTACTTGCACGCCATTACTGTCGTCACTTATCTGTTCGGAGTCAAGAAGGTTTGCTTTCAGTTTTTTTAAATGATTTATTTCTTCACTAGACAAAAACTTTACCTCTCTATTTCTCTCTTCTTGCTTCCTTAACCTACGGGTTATCGATTTCCACTTATTGTCACACTGTGCTGCGGAAGCTATTATGTTATGTTTCGAGGCTAGCTCGTCGGATATAATCTTCCACAACTGCTTTTTTCTTATATATGGAGAATTAAAGTCCTCCTCTTTCTCCTTCACTAAGTTCACTAATTTTGCTTCCGATGCTTTAGTCCACTGAATAATATTCCTCTCTGCATCTGTGTAATCAGATGTGATATCTACAGGTTCCTCGGTTACGAGATTTGGAGTCTCTATAATTGTCACCTCACTATTACTTGAACCATCACCTTTAACTATTAAAAAATTACAATTATTAGCTAAATTTTTTTGGGAAAAATAAATTATAATCTTTACTAGTAATTTCAATACAATCAACAAAACAAATGTTTAATTTATATCATATCTTATATTAATTATAAGAGATAATTCTCAATTAATTGTCTTTAAAATTATATATAGTCGACCCCCTATAACACTGTTGATAATTCCATTTTATATGAATTCCATGTTTTACGAGTCACTTAGATTTTACAAATACGTGTGCTGGGCTGTGAACAGCTCATGTATTTGTAAAATTTAAGTGACTCGTACAACATGGAATTCATATAAAATGGAATTATCAACAGTATTATAGGGGGTCGACTGTACAGCACATAAATTAATAAAATGTAAATATGTTTCTAAAGCAGGGGGGAAGATTGAAGCACTCAAAATTTATTAAACAACGTGTAAGGAGAACTCTGTCAACTACAAAGACCTAAACACAATATAGAGTGCTTGGAAATTATGGTTTGAGGCCTAAACATAAAGGAGATCACATGATTACATACATAATAATGCATTTTAAATCATTACCATTAAAGCTGAAACCAGCTAAGAATAAATCACATCTTTTTCAGCAACCAACACTTTATTAAAACAAATGTTTTTGGCCACTTTTAAAAGTTTGCCTCAGGTTTTAAACCAATAAAATTCAAACCGAGAATTCCAATAAAGTGCTTTTTGTATTTGTCAGTTGCTGGAAGATGTGATTTACATTAATGCATCTAAATATATTCATGGATGATGATATTCACTCTTATTTTATTCTTCATTAATACCGAATTTTCATGTATCTTCTGTATTTATTTTACCTATAACTCTACTGTTACAGTAATAAAAAAAAAAAAAAAACCAATCTAATTGCAAATATTAACAGTTTATCATCACACATATGAACAGAATTTTTAATTACTTTAGTAATTAAAAATGATTCCACATTCTATTATTTAATGACAAATTAAGTCCCAAGTCATTAAATTTGGGCTACTATGTTTATCATTTTATAATTTTCTATATATTCTTAAATTATGCTCAATTCTGCAAAAGAACAGAAATACTGAACATAGAGTCAAAAATTAAACTATTTTTAATTAATTTTATTAAAAGTTTCAATATATGTTTTCTTAAAAAAAGCTAGTTTTTCTTAATTTATTAAAATAAACAACAAAAAGAACATTACTGCTTTTTACTTTTATATAATAAGCATCCTTTTTACTACTTTAATGATTTTTTTATCATAAAAATCTATAAATTAATTATGAACAATTTACAAGAAAAATATCAATATTTACATCAGCCATTTACAAAGTGGACAAAACAACAACAGAATGTTGTTGTTACATCCACTTTGTAAACTATAATAAATTAAATAAAATCAATTTATTTTGATACAAATATCAATTCCCCAATAGAGCCTCTTGGAAGTTCAAAGAATTTCGTTTATAAATAGATGAGTTTAGAATAGACTTCCAGAAGGAATCAAGTCGTAGACATACCTACCGAGTATATCGACTTTATACAACAATAACCTGAATACACAATTAAACAACAGCATCGTAATATAACACAACATTAATTACATCAAAAATGTTATGCCAAATTATTCTTCATCAATAAATTAAATAGAATTAATGAATTTGCCATGATTATTCAAAGTTAATGGATTATAAAGGAGTATTAGATTGTGTTATAGCAAATCTAATGAGAAATTTTAGAGAAAATGATTTATAAAGCCTTAAAAGTGTACAATAAAATCATATTTTAGTAGCTTCTATTGATAAATTACACAGGCTCTTAGTTATAAGAGTCCTAACATGTACTTCACATCATTTTCTATGAAATTTCTAACTACATTTTTGCTATAATTCAATGTAAAACTCATGTTTACATTTCATTCCTTCTGAAAAATTATGAAAAAATTCATCTAATTCTAATATTTTAATGAATTATAAAAATGGCTCGTCGATTTACTGTAAAATTTTAACCATAACCATTTAAACAATCTAAAAACAAAAAAAACCTTGGCATAATTGTCGATAGGATTTCAATCGAGAGATAATTAATTCAAAAATAAGCACGTGGTTAACTGAGAACATAAAAGAATGGGCGGAACCAAGTAAGCAGTTCTGTCGAACTTGTGAATATATGAACGTGACTATGACGAGAGTTCTCGAACACGCCTTTCGATCCGAATACTCCTCACACCATAACTTTTAACTAATTCTAGATTTAAAAAACGTTCTCTTACCTCCGTGTTGGTCTTGAAAATGCTGTAAAACAGCTTCGTACTCCGCTGTAAAACCGCACTCGCCGCAAAATGTTATCCTTCCGGCAGCTTGTATTTCCGTCATTTTACTTTATGGACGGCTCTCGTTTATTATTACGCCATTTTTCTTTGCAAGTAAATTAAAAAAAAATAATAAAATTTATAATTTTAAGCTTGGTTCGTTTGCTAAGATGGCGAGAGATACAATCTCTTGTGACGTCATCGCGTACGTTTATTGGTTCTAATGTTTACTGACGCGCTTAGAGTGCGGGTTTCGAAACTGCACGGTGATTCGCTTCTGTTCCGATTTACTGATCTCTTATTGGTTAGATAACTGTCGAGTCGTTCTGTATTCGCCAATAGAGTAAAACGTTGTTCGGACGAAGTGTTCCGGAATAAATTTCGTAAAAAATATAATTACGAAGAGAACGATTGATCCGTTTAAATATAATTTGTTTATTTATTAACTAAAGCGTTAGATTCAATCGAAAACATTTTTTAAATAATGTTTTTTTTTTCTTTCATATTAATCAATTTGCAGCCGGATGGCCGAGAGCTTAACGTGACAGCCGTATAGCTCTGGGGACCCGGGATCGAATCCAGACGAGTGGGAAAACTCCAAGAAATTTTCGGGGATGATCCTTCTGGATTTGTTGAGTCCCGGCCTTCACCACTCGGCTGCTCCATTGTGGGCCTGGCCGAATCCATGATGGACTTGCTAAAATAGGCCCTCTTAATGCCCACAGGATGGAAAGAGTTTAAAAAAACAAGCCAACAGCAACCAAATTCAGTGTTCATACTTTCCTGGCCATGAAATTTCGGTTTCGCAAATAAAAAGTTTAGTTCTAAAATTTCCCGATAGGCACTAACGTCTGTGCAATTTGCATATAGCTTGCAGAACAACTTTAGGGCTTATAAAGGGTTGTAAAGCGTGGTGCTTATATTACATGTTTGTGCAGTATACGTTAAATTTTACTATCAAAGAAGCTACAATGTTAATTAATAGGCCTACTACACTCAAGAAATTTTGATGTTAAAGTCCTCTGACGTTTCTAATCTTACGAAAATGTTTTTGCATTTCGAGGAACAAGAACTTTCAATATGAAACAGAAAAAATCACAAACCAATGGAACAATATTATAGTTTTACTCCTATAAGATATATCATAGTCAGGAATTAAGTCCTGCTTATTGTGCTCAGCGGAAATAATTTGCCATGTTATTCATAGCTCGGATGATGATCGAAGATTCACGGCCCTAGCAAATTATATGAACAGGTGGAAGTCACGAAACCCATTTTACTTGCTGGTATGGGCGAACACTTACAACTGCTGTGTCTGATCTACAGAAAATCCACGCGTTTACCAACAAATTCCTTGCATCAACGAAAAATCGCAGTGCCGCATCATGAATTCTTCATCATTGGACCGTATTCTTTTCAAGGAAACTTCTGCCCCATTGACACGATCTGTCAATGACATTTGTATGCAGACACTCTTTCAAACTTTGTCATCCCTGTACTTCAGCAATAAAATTGTTTGGACACCAATCTTCGTGCAAGATAGAGAACCTCTAGTTTCGACAGTGCCGTAACTAGCCATTCCTGTGCCCTGTGCAAGAACTTGCATTTAGGCCCCTTAATTAATTAGGTTTGGGAAAATAATAAAACAAACACGTGCATTTTGGGACCCTCTTCCAAATGGGCCCTGTGCGGATGCACCTGTTGCACCTGCCTAGTTACGGCACTGAGTTTCGACGTCAATGTGCAAAGAAATGTAAGCATTTTGCAATGAAACAGTGATTATCGGATCATTTCCAACAGCAAAGCCATCACGATCACTAGACTTGACGTGTCCACCAGTGGCCAAGCGGTCTTCATACCCTGAACACTGGGGGGTTTGGTCGTGGGTTCGCGCCTCGCTCAGATGGGCTGCCACGTGGAGTTTTCCGGGTTTTCTGTAACGCCTAAATAGGGCCCAGTTTCCCTTAAAAAGGCATTTTCCTAGGCAAATCGCCCAAATGTTGCGTTTGCCTGTAACTTAACAAACATAAAAAGTGAAAGTAATAAATGAATAATTTTTTTTAATATATGTTTTAATGGTGGCTGAGCGTCACTCTATCACTATGGGGTACCAAGGATTGAATCCTGGAGAGCAACCACAAAAATTTTTCGGCGGATGGTCTGTCATGAATTCGATGAACCCCTCTATTACCACCCGGCCATCCTTATGTGGACCTGACCGAATTCACAATTGTGTCCACGGGTAAAAAAACAGTAAAAAATAAACAAGGTTTTGAAAAAAACAAAAGATATGTTTTTGAAAATTAAGTTTTACCATATAATATGTACAGTACTTAGTGTGCTTATAAATTTTGATACAAAATTTGCCTGTTTTTGAGCCTGCCACGTGCATATCGCTTAAATTTTCATACGCGTTCTATTCGCTGTTTGAACGTTTTTCACATTACAGTGGTACCTCAGGATACGAAATTAATCCGTTCCGAAACTGAGATCGTATCATGAAAATATCGTAAGGTGGATCATCTTTTCCCATACGATTACATGTAAAACCAAATAATTCGTTCCAACGCGAAAAACATACTCAAATTAAAGCCAAGTAATACATTTAAAAAAATAACTGTAGTAAGAAAAACAAATGAAAAATGCGAACTAATGTAACGTCGTATGGTGAGTTTTTGTTCGTATCGTGGAGCAAAAATATGTTCGAATTTCATGTCGTATCCTGAAAATTTCGTATGCTGGGGCGTTCGTAACCTGAGGTACCACTGTATATGTAAGATAAGTTGCAGTATTTGTTCTGTTAATCATGAAAAGGTTCTGTAAACAAAACGCGAGACAATTCTGCGGCTTTTTCTTCGAGGAATGAAGAAATTTGAAATTTGCCATTAGCTAAAATCTGGGAATGTTACAAGGTACTTGGCGTATCATTCCATTAATAGGAAAAAATCGATTAAGAAGTGATTGACCGAGGAATACAACATAGTGAGCGTCAAGGCTTTGAAGAGTACAAGAAAAAACCTCGCCGATGCCAAAGAAAGCTGGCCTTACAGATGGACGTCTTTAGAAAGACCATTCATTTAGCACCAAAAAAATGTGAGGCCTCGAAACTAGTAAGAAATTAAAAGCAAAATGTATTTTATTAAATTATTAAAACAAATAGAAAGCAAATAATTTAAGTGTCGAGCCGGCGACACCGGAATTTGACATCGTCGCTCATAAATAATAGAGGGAAAATAAATTTTAAGACAAAAGAAAATAAAAAGGGAATTGTTTAAACTTAAGACGCAAAAAGAAAAAGGAAACGAGAATTATGAGCGTAGGTGTCTTAGTCATCGATAAATCGCGGATGATGTCGGATGAACCATCCCGGGCAGACCTTTCTCGCGACCTAAATTGGTCTCAATTTTCACCTCGAGACAGATAAGAGACCAATTGGAGAGCGAGGAAGAGAAGGCCTGACCAAAATCGGGAACGAAAAATTATATAAGCCCGAGTGTCCAAGGACAAGGGTTCGATCTGTCAGTTTGATCTGCCCATCCGTTCGAATCGTCCGATCTGTTTGTTAGTTCATTAGACTATAAAAACTTCCCGTTCGTGCCGAGAATTGCTATTTCGCCGTCGACCAGAAATCGACTTTCTGCCAACTTGCGTACCAATCAAAGTCTCCAAACCCCAACTCACTGCTACCCCGGGCGTGCCCTACGAAGACGAAAAACTGTCAAGGATACGAACTCCAAATCTTTGGGACAGACCTATAGAATGTATGCATAAATCGACAAAATAAACAGTTTTTGTGAAACACTTGTCTTTTTCCTGCCTTCAGAACCGCTACCCATATACCTTGCGTATGTGGGTGGCGGCCCTAGATTATCCTGACGAAAGGGAATAAAATTTCCCCTCTCAAAGGATCTCAGGCTTAAGGCTTTAAAGCGTGGTACCTACTTCATGTCGACGAAGACTCAAAAGTAAATGCTGATTCTCTGTCATCGCTTATTGGAGAGATACGAAAATGTAAAAAATATTCTCTTCACAAGTGAAAAACTTTCATTTTGGAGATAAACTCAAACAAAATGATTGTTTCTCATATTATATATATTAGTGAAAAATATTTCCCTGCATGTCCGGAAGCCATAAAAGGTTCACCAGACCATTGAAGCGTAATGGTCTGGGCAAGGGTCAATTAGCAAGGAAAAGCAGAAATTCATTTTGTATCAACAAGAGTTAAAACGAGTGCCAGAATTACAAGAATTTCCGGACTTTTCAACTATAGCGGCTTTGATCCAGAGCGGTAAACTCCGCCCTAACCTCTCGGCTATCCGGCAGTCTTAAAAATTAAATTGTAAAATTTCATCAAGATTAAACAAATAAAAGATAAATAGCGCAAATAAAACTATATAAAATCCCCCAAAAATTTAATATTTAATTTTAATAAGAAGTAATAACTTTTCTAATACATCACATAATTTGACAGTTCTCCAAAAACAGAAAAATTACACTCTAATAAACAATAATTACGCGACGAGTAGGAGTTTTAAAACGTATATTTATTGGTCGCCATTCCAAAGTGCGAGCGTTATTGACCAATCGCATCTTCGTTTTACAGAATCGTATATTTGACCATATTAGGGTCGATTGGTGTGTGAAGTTTCGAAGATGGCGAAGTCAGGATCGGAACGTGTTCTTAATAAGTTGAAATTAAGTATCGAACAGGGAAATTATTACGAAGCACATCAGATGTATAGAACTTTAAACTTTCGGTAAGAATCGTGTAAAGTTTATTGCCTGTCAAACTATAATATAAGCGCGTATATTAAATAATAAAGTGTTGGATGCATTTTATGTGCAGCGCCATATTGTTTTTCTCCAGTCTGGATTTATTTTTTTTATTTTTATATTTATTTTTTACCATTACGTAGATATAAATTTAGTGGCTCGTCGTTGTCGTCCGCATTTTAAGATTTTTTCCACTTAAATACGTAACCACTTCCCTACTTACCACTTATTCGCGGCAATTTGCAGCTGTTAGGCAAAGTGAATCACGTGATTATTTTTTTCGGCAAATTCGATTAATGATCGGTCTTACAAATGTATTGACTAAGGTCCCACGTCCCGAAGACTTTTACAATTAAACGGGCATTCTTATCTGACATTGACACGGAATGTAATTTTCTGTTTCCCACGTTAAAACGTGACGTGTTATTAACAGGATATATATAAAACTAGCAAAACGTTAAGCAGAAATTAGGCAGGAAGATGCTATGTAATGATATGAATTATTGATAACAATATGGCTATGCTTAATCTCTAGGTGTATATAAGTAATAATTTGTATGTAAGTAAGGTAAAGACTTATATACCATTCAACTTGTATGCACCAAATGAGGCATGATCTTCTTTGACACCTTAGAAAAAGTACTGCAGAGATTCCATCCCTCTTATTGTGTTACATTTCTTAGATAAAGAGATGTATCCACACCAAATTTCACATGAATATTCTAGAAAAATACTGTGGAAGTCCACCTCAACCTAATCACAAGCAAATTTCATTATTGTAAATAAATATACATTTTAGTTACCAAGACTATTGTTTTTTATCCTCTTCCAACCCAACCTCACCTGTCCCTACCTCCTCAAAAACCAGTAACACCAGGTGCACATGGCTAGTTATGTATAAATATATATTTTTATTTAATAGTCATAAAACTGATTAAAGATATCAAAATAGCAGAAAAAAAACAGAAATTTCTACATTGATAAGTTATAATAGCTTAATTTAGTTAATAATTAATTAAATATCAGTTAAATTGAAATAAATATTGCAAATTTTACACATGACATTTATTTGTATTGGTAACAGCTGTTTCGACGTGGAGTTTAAAAAAACTATCGAAATATTAGTTTTTAATAAATTTTATTTGCCGTTTTATAAGTTGAGTGTTTTAAGTTTTGTTGATTTTTTTGTCTGCATTGTTATAAAATGAAGAGAGATTGAACTTAGGTTGATATTAAAATATTATATATGTCAGGCCCTTTCACCACTAACCCATCTCATTTTGGCCATAATAGGCTTGATAAAAAGGCTCTCTTAGTACCCACAGGACAGAAAGAATAAAAAACAATACTATTATCAGATTAAATTATGTTGATATTAATGATTTTAATTTGAAATTCTTAATAAAATTATTGTTGTTCAGAAAAAAAATGTATGATTTCATATATTTGTATTTTAGATAAGATAAGGGTCCATTTTGTGAATTAAATTCAAAATTGAATATTTTCTAAATCGGAGATAAAAAAAGAATATATATTAATATACAATTAAAATTTAAGGCTTTTAAAATAATTTTTAAATGGTTTATTCTTTTTTTTATCTCCGATTTAGAAAATATTCAATTTTGAATTTAATTCACAAAGTGGACCCTTATCTTATCTAAAATACAAATATATGAAATCATACATTTTTTTTCTGAACAACAATAATTTTATTAAGAATTTCAAATTAAAATCATTAATATCAACATAATTTAATCTGATAATAGTATTGTTTTTTATTCTTTCTGTCCTATGTGTTACCAAAACTATAATAAACTTTGTATTATATGGTTAAAAACTTCACGTAACAAAAATATTTTTATCGTATCACTAAGCACTTTAAGAAACCCTCATTTTTTTTATAACGGTTGTATATATACAAAATGTTATAAAAAATGTTATAAATGTTATAAAAAAAAATGAAGGTTTCTTAAAATGCTTAGTGATACGCTAAAAATATTTTTGTTATGTGAAGTTTTTAACCATATAATACAAAGTTTATTATAGTTTTGGTAGTAAAATATATTTTATTTAATTAACAGCACTTAATTATTTGTCTTTACAAAGTACAAACTTTTATTCACTATCTTTTAAATGATTTATTTAAGTTATTACTTTGTATATTAGAATGAAAAATTTATTATGTACTTTGTGCTCTTTTTCTGAAAAAATTGCTACTTGTACATGTGTATGGCAACTGAACATATAATATTGTTTTTACTGGGTAACTTGTGGTATAGCATAGCAGTTCCAGTTGAAAAATATCTATGGATACATTTATAATATAGTATATACAGCATGTCCTCACTTACTGTTGTTGTTGAAAGATACAAATACATTTGTAGTCATTTTTCATGTAATAAGTAAAACTGATTCCATAAATAAGTGCTGAAACTTTAGAGACGATTCATTTGAATAATATTGACTAAATTATATCTTGTTTATGTTATTTAACCTATGGTAAAATTGATTTCATTATGTCGTTTTCATTTAACACTTCAGTTTCCAAGAATCTATCAATGACATTAAGTGAGAACTTGTTGTGTTTGATTTTTGAATGCTGTTAGTACTGTAAATTTTTTCTATTTTTTGAAGAAAGAATGATATAATATTGTTATAAGAAATCATTTGAGTTTATATTAATACTTTTCTTAATTTTCTTATGCTAATCAATACTTAAATTTTAATACATTTTAATCAATTTTGGATAAGTTCCAATTTGAATTTAGATTTATTTATGCTGAAAATTATTATTAATTAAAACTGGAAATTTAGTATTTTTAAAATTTAAAAATTGATCAAATCTTTGAATGACTATATCTTTGCTAACCTAATTATATAAAGTAATTTCGTTTTCAAGATTTAGCATGAATTAACCTAGCATATAAAGGTTCAATTACTATAAAGTTTAGTCTTGGTTATTTATATACAGGGTGTCTCATAAATCTGAAACTATAGAATGTTGATCTTTATTTATTTTTTTTACAGGTAAAACATGACACTGAGTAAGGAGGAATGAATTCAAGTTATTTTAAACATTGGGGATATGCAGTTAGCATGAAACTGCCGAAGACTTTGTGCTGCATCCAGACTTTCCACAATCACACACAGCAGTCTGGATGCAGACTGTTCAGTATCTTTTCACTGTCTGCAGTCTCCAGCGTAATAAGTTGAATTCGTTCCATGTAAAAAAAAAAAAAGGTTAACATAACTTTCATGGTTCCAGAATTATTGGACATTCTATACATTTAAGTTATTGCCAGAGTAAAATAAAATATTTTTTATCTAACTTTATTTGACTTCATCACTTAGTAGTTTCTTTATTAAGATACTATAAAAACAGAAAAATATGTATATTTTGGAAATATAAAGTTAAAAACTGAAAATACTGACAATTAATTGAAATCCATTTTTATTTTATTAATTTCATTTATGATGAAACTGTAATTTCTCATTAAGATTAAAACTTTAGATCAGTATGGAACTCTTGAATAGCATCAGTTTACTTATTATTTTCTGTTGTTGTTTTTAAACTAAATTTGATGACTATATTATTCATAATTTTATCATATATAGTCAATAATATTTTATTTATTTTTTCTAACATCAAATAGCTTTTCAAAAACATCTGTTTGTCTTTAACAACAAATAAAATATTAGCTATTCAGTCTGCATATGATGAAACACATCATTCCATATGAATGGTCATTCAACAGTAGATAAAATTGTACTATTATAATATCTTTTGATTTTCTTTTTTGAAAAATATGTAAAATTCTCATGTATGGTGATTTTCATTTAATATAAGTTTTTATATTAGTTTTTAAAACTTGAATTATCAAAAATATTTTTGTTTGATTTATCTAACAAAGCAAATTGAGTGAATTCAAAAAGTTAGTTAAAATCAATAAAGTTAATATTATTATATCATTGTTTTCAATTCATTCAATTAACAGAATACTAGACTCAGTATTAATCAAAATTATCACCTTTTTAAATATTCCAGCAAATAATTTAATATTGTAAAAACGTTTTCAATCGTCTTTAACGATCTTCATCAGTTACAAAGAAAGTTAAAGACGATCGAAAACATTTTTACAATATTAAATTATTTGCTGTAATATTTAAAAAGGTGATAATTTTGATTAATTCTTTCTAGTTCCAGTACAAGTTAATATATTTACTAGACTCAGTGACGAAACATGAAGGTGTGTTGGAACTGAATGAAACTTTATTAGTGTGAACATAATTATGAGTGTAGTAAGTGATTACGATATCAGTAGAGGAACAGTTTTCTATGCAACAACAGTAATTTGAGTAAGTCCTACTCTTGTCTGGATATGTTTGATAATGGACAGGAATCTACAGACACTCTAGATCAGGGGTGGCCAAACCGTGGCGCATGCGCCAAACTTGGCGCATTGGACGATTACAAGTGGCGCTTTAGTCAGTTCTGAGCAACATTGCCAGATTTGGCTTCTTTGCAATTAAGAATATTACATAGAAAATTAATTTTTTATAGTCTGTCTTGGCAAGTTCATTTGTTGCACAATTCGTTGCAATCAACTTTACAGATAAAATGAGTGTTCTCCACATAGTAAATTACAGTGTATGCATGTATGTTTATTTTCGATCAGTGCATAGGCGTCTAAATGACAGTGCTACCGTCCGGACAGTCCACGAGTCGGTTGGACTGCTACACCTGTTGACCTTTTTTTTTTTTTTGCTTCTACGATTCACGATACATTCGCAATCGTGTATGCCACTAATGTCAAACGGGACTATTTTGTACGGGTAACTACACCACCACCGCATTTTTTATTAATTTTTTTTCACACAACTGAATTTTGATCTTTTAAATTGAAATACCTGATTAAAGGGTGGCCGAAATTTTTCTCCGCCCCGGGCGGCTAACACCCACGGTACGCCACTGCGCATCTGAACT